TCGTTTTTAATGAAACTTACAGGCGAGGAAAATATTTTATGTCAAGAGTATTGAAACAACATAGTGACGCCTTTATGGTGCCAAGCTTATGATATGAGTAGATAGATAATTTGTTTGTTATAAAAGATCATAGACGCATGCAAAAATAACATTTATTCAAATATAATTTTCTAAGTGTAGGGGGCTTGATGTTTTTCGTACTTGTTTGTTTACGTCAAATTATAAAGTGTCATAACTTGCAACATTCTCAAGGCCGAACAAAACACACAAAACAACAACTATTGGATACAGGGGCTTATAGCCAAATTAATTTATTTTGTATAAATACCTAGAAATTAAATGCATGTTTGAAATGATCTATATGTCCTGTTATCACATTTGACTTGAAACCCATATTGTACTAAAAAGAAAATTATGCCATAACGTTTTGAAAGGATTACAATAATTGAATTTGATAGGAATAACATTATCATATTGCACATTTTCGCTGCGTCTTTTTGAAGATGCGGCATTGAAAACCCATTGCACAATTCTTAAAAAATAAAGTGATACGTTTTTAAAATGATAGTGTAAACAACTCAAAGGTTTTCCCGTGTGTTTTGTTAAATGTAGTAAATCAAGAATTGTTTAAAAAAATGCAAGTGAATATCTTTTACCTATTAAAATATTTTGTTGTAAACGCCAAGATACGGTCCAAGCAAAACAAACAAACTCCCAACTCCCCCCCAAAAAAACAACAACAAAAAACAAAAACAAAATAAACGAATGAGTTGTTCATTTCACCCATGCCTTACGAAGTCATTAGATATCGACAAGGAAGTACAACATTTTTTTGCATTTAACTCTTTATTAGCCTACCTGAATAACATAAATACCTTTTTAAACATTCGGTCTATATCAAATACACTATACAATAATGTGAAATTTCAAGTTTTTAATCAAATAATTACTTAAATAATTAAGCAAATTTTTATTTTCAGACTGTTCGTTTTGTGCTATTTTATAACAAAAGTTTATAATTGAAGTGACAAGAAATTAATTAAAATAAGTTTTAAAATAACAGTATTTTCATCAATATATATTGTTCTTGAAATAAACACTGATAATAAATGAAACTCTGTTATCATCTAATACAGTATATCTAATACAGTAATCACATATTGATTACCACAATTTAAAATAATGTAACCCAAGGCCAGAATTCGAAACACTGTTGTTATCTGTCACAATATCATAATCCTAAATATGATGTAAAATTGTCAGCCATTGCCAGAAAAAACAACACTTTCCACATCTATTAGAGTATCATTATCTTTAATATGTCGGAAAATTGTCAGCCAGGGACAGGAACAAAACACTGTTCTCATCAATCTTGAATATATCGAAAAATTACAATATCATTAACTTAAACATGTCAAAATGTTACAGTAGCACAATCTTTAATAAATGTATGTCAGAAAATTGTCAGCTAAAGATGATAATGCTCAGAACCACTTCTTTATTTTGCTAACATCGCCATGCTAATACAAAGATGTTTTTTTCTCCACATGTTGACAGGATCTCAATCAACATAATAATGTTGATGCTTTGTATATTGGTAATTCATAGATGAATAATAACATGAGCTATGTATATTCTTGAAACACCAAGCAATACTCAATTCAATGACTATGAGATATCAATGACAGCCTAAATATAGCACACACGCGCACGCGCACACACACACGCACACGCACGCACACACGCGCGCACACACGCGCACGCACACACGCACCAACACACGCGTGCACACACGCACGCACGCGCGCGCACATACACATAGTTATTACTTCATTAATAATCTACAGACAAAACATATTTATCTAAAAATTGGTATAACGGATAAAATTTTATAAAAATCACGGCAGGCAGTCGATCACAAAGGGTAATCGATCAAAAATATTTTTTGCCATCAAGTGCTCATGAACTCACCATAAATAGATTTTCTCGTTACACCTGTTTTTCAAGTTTTCGTCACTATATATTTTAACGAGCAATATATGATACATTTCAGTAAAATTTAAAGTGAAATGCACCCTACTTTCTATTTCGATTCCGTGAAAAATACAATGTAGTTGAATTAGATTTATATGATACTGGCAATATTTTCTTGACTTTATTTTAAAATGTTGGCGACAATCTACCCATGCGACCACTTTCGACCAAGATAAACCGGAGAAATTGTTACCTTCATTTGTCTTTTTTTAGCCAAAACACAATTTATCTTACTTAAAAGTGATCAATGATTTTGACCAGATTTAAAGACGGACATGTCCATTAAAGAAAATTAAAGTTGTAATTAAGGTTTTACAAAAAGTGAAAAATAAAATTTTATTAAGAAAAATGAAAATAAACTAACATACTGTAGACAAAATGTATGGATACATAAAAGTGTATGTAGTGTAACAAAGTAATCCCAGCAAACTGGACATTTAAGACTGTGAATCAAGGAATGTGGCTCGACAGGCTCCCAGTTCGAGTCTGTAGACTCAACCGCCACATCCTCGCCGCACAACGAACCCTCAACCGTTACCTTATGTTTTTTTCTAAAAAAATAAATCCTTCCATAAAGCGCTCGATGCAGCCAGCAGAAAAATATTGTTAAGGAAATAGTTCAAATCATAACGCCATACTAAAGGTTTATGTGTCTAACGTGTTACTATCTGGAACTCACACGTGTGCTTTTTGATATATTAAAAGCATCCTACGAGAATCTAAAAGGAACTCCACTGAGGTTCAAAAAGCTAAAAGCATAAAATTTGATTCTTAAAATAGATCAGCTGGTACACGTAACACTTGAAGAAATGCAAAAAAAAATAGTAAGAAATATACCAAGAAATGAATTGAAAAGAGTATTTTTGTGCTTTTTTAAACATGATTTGAGTGACAAGCGTTTAAACGCTTTTCAATTTTGGGTCATTTTTCACAATTTGAACAAATATCCTGAATAAACCACGAGAGCGAACGATTTAAAATTTTGCACACAAGTTACTTATCTAGACCTACATCAAACAGAGCATTAATCTCGAAAAAATATTTCCAGTCTCGTCATGTCAAAAAATAAAACAAAAAAAACAACAAAAAAAAAAAAAAAAAAAAAAAAAAAAAAAAAAAAAAAACACAACAAAAAAAACCCCAAAAAAAAACCAGCAGAGTCCCTGTCCAGCGAGGAGGGAAATCATATAAAAAGTTGAAAGAGTTTAGCTTGCGTTGTATATTACGTATGAATCAATTCTTGTTTTGAAAAAAAGAAACATCATTTGCGTGCGAATAGCACGGTCATGAACTTAGTTTACATACATTAAAGTTGAAAATACTTTATTTTCAGAAGCATTTTATTTTTGATGTCATGCTTCGGTTTCCAAAATCTTATTTGTTTAACTGCCACACGGCTGATCAATACTTACATTCTTTTACGTTTTTATAAAAAGTAGAGGTATAGTAAATGAAAGCCAAAATATCACTTTGATTACATTTCTTTTTGTGTGTTATTCTTGAAATATTTCCCTTTTGGAGCAGCTCTTGACATTTTAAATGTTCTGAATACTGGTAGGGTAACAATCAGGACCTATAAAATGATGAACCTGGACAGTCATTGCAACAATGAATGTTATATACCAAAACGTTCATTAAAGTCTGTAGTATATGAAACCACCGGCATAAATTGGCAAAAATGATGGCCATCAGAGAAATCCAAGTAGTCCGCCTAAAATAAAAAAAATTCAAGAAACATTCTTTCAACTATTATTTTATTGCAAATTCTAAACTTTAACAAATGTTATCAACCCGTTAATATTATATAAAGGGAGCTTTCACAATATTTAACTTACTCTACTGGTTTTCTGAATTAAGGCAAGGTCGAATTTAATGTCAAAGTGATGATACAGTAGAAACATGTATTAATTGCTTTCATAGTAATGTTTTACTTTTATTTTTTATTTAATTTTTTAATGAATCTTCAAAAATTTTCATTCTTTTAGAAAACATTATGATAGTTCAAACATGCACAAGACATGCCTACGAGAATAAAGCTATTATTTGTTGGGGGTTATTTCCTTGGTCTGACCCTATTTTGCAAAAGATCCTTGAGTGATCTAAGAACATTGAGGGATGCGCAATTATGATGTCCATACTGGAGGCCAACAAACTTAAATGCAGTTAAGAATCATGCTTTTGGTATTGTCTTACAGGTTGTGTTACCTGTTCATCATTTCATGGCTGCCGTCAATCTGAAATCTTTTTTGGAATTTTTAAGGGTCATGTTATGTCTTGAGTTTAAAATCTTCAATTTTAAGCTTTGCTGATTGCGATTTATTATGTAAATTTTTAAAAACTTAAAACATTTTGAATGTGTTCAAAGCGAGTGACTAAAGATCAATCAACCAGTTCAGCAGCCATCTTGAAAGTCACTGAGATTGATTTCGTAATTTTGCACGTACGCGTATTCACTCGCCCATATGGAAAAATAATACCTGGTAGCAAGGCGGCCGAAATTGCATAATGACCTAGATCTTGCCAAAACGGCCTTGAAATACCCTAAAATTTGTTACTTTATATAATAACATAGGTATTAAAGTATTATTTAACCCAAGTCTGCTCATTTTACAGAAAGGGTTATCAAATTTCACGAGATTAAATAAGCTGTAAATGTCAATAACCATCTAATTTAGTCTTGCTGTACTTAATCTAACATGTACACTAATCGCATTAGCAGACAACTTTACTTTAAGAAGCCTCCAAAATCAAAACAAAGCAAAACAAGACAAACAAAAGAAATAACGCAAAGAAACAAAAGAAACAACCGTCTAAACTCTCCTCACCATTGAATAAAAAAGAAAGAAAAACAGACACATGAGCAAGGACGACTATATACCCGTTTCTAATGAAGAATCAATTTTCACTTTTATTTCTAAATTTAGAATGTGCACGAAAAATTATCAAACCGTGCAAAAAACCCTTATTTGTAGCGTTCAAGGTTAACAGGATACATGTCTAAACTGCTTGAAATATTTGCACAATGTAGTTTGAATTGTAGTTTTACATACGTCTAACAACATTATTGCTTTACGAAGTGCGATCTAATTGGGGGGAAAAGACAGTAGAAATCGACAAGCATTCAGGACGCATGTTAAGTTAAAACTTGAAGGTAGGTGAACATTTTAATTAATTAATTTTGTTGTTTTTGTTTTGTTTTGTTATTATTGTTCTTATTTCTCCATATTTACTTATTTGTGCAATTGAATTTTCAAATTATTGTTAAGGTTGTTTTATTTTGTATATATATATATACATGCGTATTAAGATGGTTGTAATAACTGAATGCATATTATTTTCTATAATTGCAAATCGTGAAAATATACGTTGAAATTCAGTTTTTGACAAATATGTTAAAAAAAAAAAAAAAAAAAAAAAAGTCGGTGTGTATGCGTGCGTGCGTGGGTTCGTGTGTGTATGTTTTAATATATATATATATACATTTTTATAAACATTTTAATCCTGCAACATTTTTTTCCAAGTCAAGGGCAATAACTCTGACAAAACAAAACTTGTCAAAAACGAAACACAAGGTGAGCAATTTGACATGCTGATCAATATTCCTGTAAAGTTTCATAACTCTTGGTAAAAGACTTTTTTAACCTACGCGCGTTGGGCACAAAACTAAATCAAAGAGCCATGAAAACATCTTGTAAACACCTTAAGTTTTGACCTAGTTACCCACTTTTTATTGTTAGAGATACAGCTACGATATTTTGACCATGTACATAATTTCAAAAATATAATTGAAATCGGATATAGAGCTTCATAAAAATTCTGTTAAAATGTTTCAATAACTTTGAGTAAAGAAACCATTTTTTTTTAACCTTACCGCGCGGCATGGGTCCAAAACTAAGGTCAAAACATGAAACCAATCTTGTAAACACCTTCATTTGAACCTTATTTTCCCAAATTTTTATTTTAGAACATGACCTACCGAATTTTGAACCCATTTTTAACATAATTTCAAAATACAAATTTTGTTGTCCGGAATTAGTTTATAATACTAAGCCCTTCAGTGTTTTAAATAAGGCTTTACCCAAAATTTTCAAATTTCCAAACTAAATCCAATGTAAAATGCAATAAAATTTGAGAACTCCAGAGATTCTTAATTCCCCTTTGTTGTAAAATTAATATTTTTCTCTTTCTGTCAATTCGATGCAATTGTGATTTATGTTAGAAAAGCAACATACTCTGGCCTTTTGTTTGTTGCTTAAGTAAACGTAGTCAATGACGATTCTATGTAAACATATGCGCGAACTGCTTTCTAAACGGAATAAATATGTACTAAAGGATGTTGTGATGTACTTAGCTTTGCACTATTCATATTTCGTGAAATAACGGTGAAATTTGATTTTGATAAAAGACAAATGGACAATTTGAGCAGGAAGTAGATACCTCATCATTATCAACTTTTTATCACTACGAATTTTTTTGAGACAGGTGTTTCAGCTTTATAAGCAAATAACTTTAAAATTTAAGATCAAATCCATTAATTTTTATTCGTAACGACCGATATCATTACTTCTTACTATTGTGTTGCTGCCCAAAGAAAATGAATAAAATGGAACATTGTTTTCTTTTAAATTAATGCTTTTCGTACATTCTTCTCAAGGAATATGTAACTGCATTTTTATCAAAACTATCACTGAAGGTAGTTTATACCAACTCAGTTACCTTAACTTTTGAAAAATAAGTGGCCTGAAGAAAGATTTGAATTCAACCTATAATTTATGAGATTTCAATCGTTTACAAAGAATTATTTCAATTCATTTCAATCCCAACCATGGTCTTCATGTCAATTTGCTTTACACTAATTATGAATAAAATATCTCATTCCTTACTTTATTTATTGTTCGAAAACCATTTTTCTATTTTCATTAACAGTGACCCTTAACCTAAATTGGTCAAAATGCAATCCAAAACCGGCGTTTCCACATAAGGTTGCTTAATACCAAGTTTGATTACAATAACTAATCTTAAAATAATTTTAATGTCAAAAACATTTTCTATTTTAACAGTGACCTAGTGGTCACATGGGGAACAAAAGCAATACCTGCCAGTATTTCCAATTTAAATGTGTTCCTGAAACCATCAAGTACTAAACAATGAATGTAAAGTTTCTTGCTCAAGGAAACAACGGCTAGCCACTGACAGGGTTTGAACCCACGCGGTCAACAATCCTTAAATTACTTGCCCGACCCGTTTACCACTCGGCCACCACGCCACCACAAACTATAGTTTATATAGTATATTGTCGTAATACTTTTTTTATTTTAAGTTACGGTGACCTCAACCCCAAGGGATAAAGAAGAAATCCCATCTAGAGTCTTCATAAAAACTTGCTTTACACCAAGATTGATTACAATATCACATTTTGAGCTCCAGTTTTTGACAGGAAACCATTTTCCCCATTTTAGTAACAGTGACATTGACCGACCTTGGCCCCATGGGGTCCAAAAGCAATACCAACCGGTGTCTTTACAAAAAAATGTTATATACCAAGTTTGACTACAATGTCTCATTCTAAACTCCAGTTATTGTCCAGAAACCTGAAACATAGTTTTTATTTTTAGTAACAGTGACCTTGACCTAAAGTGTTCCAAAAGCAATACCAACAAGGGTCTTTTAACATAAGCTTGCAAAATACCAAGTTTTATACCAAATTCTAATTTTTGTCCGGAAACCGTTTATTGTTTTAGTAACAGTGAATTGCCTTTGGCCCCAGGGTTGTCCAAAAGCTTTACCAACCGTGGTCTTTACATAAGGTTTCTATATACCAAGTTCGATTTCAATACCTCATTCCAAACTAAAGTTATCGTCCAAAAGCAATAAAAGAGACCGAGGGACGGACGGACCGACCGACAAACTGACTCCTATATATTCCCTCAACTTTGTTTGTGTTTAAAAAGCAGTTTTGATGATTTGTTCTCTACTTTCAGGTTGGCAAAATTGCGATGGCTAGATTGCTAGATTTATGTATAAGACAATGCACCACACCTTTACTCTGCCTTTTGTTTGTCTGCTTTGTAAATGCGCAGCAGACAGACGATCGTCCAAAAGTACAACCATATGCAAACGCTGCAGACTGCATTTGTAAACCGGAAGACACACTTTGCAAGTGTACATTTGTAGTAGAACACCGTTTGTCGATGGTTCTTCATGAGGAAAGGGAATTAGTTCGCGCAGTTAATGGGTACTTAGTTAAAAATGTTGACGACAATAAAAGGTTAACTAAAAATGAATCAGAGAGAGTAATCACGACTGACGGTGTAGGCTCTAGACTCGTCATTGCTATAAATGGTAAATTTCCTGGACCAAGAGTAGATGTTTTTGAAAACCAAGAAATTGAGATAACGGTTGTTAACACATTTCATACTGACAGCGTGACAGTTCATTTCCACGGCATACATCAGAAAGACACACCATGGATGGATGGAGTGGCTTTCATCACACAATGTCCAATCCTTCCTGGTCAAAGTTTTGTATATCGTTTTAAGGCATATCCACCGGGAACCAGTTTTTATCATGCACATATTGGGGACCAGCGAAGCATGGGATTATACGGTCCGTTCATTGTTCGTAAAAGAGATGTTAATGGAGGTCCGGGTGAAATTATTGTTGCTCTGCAAGACTGGAATCACAATATGGACGCCGAGACAGCGTATATGAGGATGATAACTGAACAATACGATTTCGGTACAAATCCCCCTCAAATTGTTAATACTACAGTTTCGGTCGATAATGGCAACTTCAGCAGATTTGAGTTCAAATCTGGTCTTATTAATGGAAAGGGGAGATACTGGAAAAGTGCCACTGAACACAACAGCGCTCCATTAGAAATCTTTAAAGTTACGACAGGACGCAGTTATCGTTTTCGAGTGATTGGTGCCATGACACTTTATCCGATGAGGGTTTACATCGAAGGAATTCCGCTGTCATTACGATCATCTGACTGTTTCAACATCGAAGATAATGATATCGGGTCAATTCAGTCAATTATTGTACATCCGGGTGAAAGGTATGACTTTCTAGCGACCTTCACAGACAATATTAGAAAACAGTACCTACTTATTGCTGAAACGATTGAGACCAGAGCAAGTCACGGGAAGTACCATGCTGCAGAAGCGATAATATTTGTCGACAACGCTCCCGGATCTGTTAATCTTGCCCCTCCAAACAACAAAGATAAAACATGTCTTGTTGAATCAAAATGTAAAACATTTAACTGTCCTTATGGCTATACCGGAACCAACACAAACAACTGTTTAAATTTCAATGACGTGAAGAACACTGATCCATACGGCGATCCTTCAAAAGTACAAGGAAATAAAGTTGACAATGAGTATTTTTTCAAGTTTGCGTTCCCAGGGTTCCCAGGAAACACGCCAGGGTCAGTAAACGCAAGGGAATTCATCCCACCAACATCTCCGTTGCTGACACAACCAAACGGCCTTACAACTCGTTGTAACGAAGAAAAGTGTCGAGAAAAAGGCGTCTGCGGTTGTACATACATTCAAGAGATTCCTGGAAACAAACTTATTCAAATGACGTTCATGAATATCGGAAATGGATCAGGATGGTCACATCCTGTGCACCTTCATGGTCATTCATTCTTTGTTATGAAAATGGGCTTTGGTAAGTCTTTATATTGAAAATATATCTATTTTATATTGAAAATTGACATTTAAAAAAGAATATTCTAGCTTTACGGAGATGATTTAATCTTTGAAATACAAGTAAACAGAAATCAATGCTTGTTGAAATACTTCTTTTATATAAACAAGATTAGCCCTGACCATGCCTTGACGAAATAGTGTTCATTTTTTTACAACGAAAATATGTTTCTGTTCGTAAATGCAATGTCTAATGTATTCGTATTGTTTTGGTTGTACAATGTCTATGTTTTATAACCTTTTCGTGTCTTTAAAGGGACTCTACGGAGTATTTTAATTTTTTAATTTTGACATTACTGGACAGGACTCGTTTTTTACGATCTTTTTGATCCATTGGGTGTAAGTCTTGGAAAATATCTATTGTGTACGACTTTAGGTCATTCGCTCAGTGTATTTTCTAGAATAGTTTTTCCAATTGAAAAACAACAGAATTGAAAAACATCGCAAAATTGGGTTACAAATAGGTCAAAAAATACGATTTTTAAAACATTTTGTGTGAATTTCCTAATAATCTTCTGCGTATTGTTCTGTTTAAATGCGCCACTTGAGCTATGTAAGATATTCAAGTTTTATGATTTAAAATTTTTCAACCACAGTAGAGTTCCTTCTATTTTTTTCAGCATAGAATTTTAGGTTCATGCGTTTTACCAAAGAAACTCAGAATTACATGTTTAATGATTAAAACATACGTCAATTATTCTTGCTAACATTTCATCCTCATATTCATTCTAAAAGGGACATATAATGCTGTAACTGGACAGTTAATCGATGAGTCAACAGATATTAAGTGTACGGATAAGTACGGCTTCTGTTCTCAAATGGAATGGGCTGACAGCACGTGGAATGGCGGGAATATACCAGGACAAAATCCAAAACCGCCGACTAAAGACACAATCGTTGTTCCTACAGGTAATATGACTAGTGAATGATTTCAAACCCAAATGAATCGGTAAACATCGACAAAAATCCATTAATATCGTCAAACGCCGAGCCAGATCCTTCTTCCGGAAGTATTCTTTTATATATCTATGTTTAATAATAATCGTTTATCACTTGGCAGTGTTTTCCACTGTCACAAGTGACGACATTATTCTAGAAACCAGTAATGGTTTGCAAATCTTAGGCGTAACATTCACTTATTACATTCATTTATACATTTCCATCTAGATTAAAACCCTCAATCACATCATATCAAATATTTTTAATTTCTTTGAATAAACGTGATTGGTGGTCTTGCTAGGGACCCGTCAGTTATGTCTTTACATGTTAGGTAGAAAATTATGACTTCAATAAATTGTTGATGTTAATTTTTTTATAAACATCTATTTAAGTAAAGCAGCAAACATAATTATTACAGGTGGGTACGTTGTAATTCGGTTCATCTCGGACAATCCCGGAATGTGGTTCCTACACTGCCACATTGATCTGCACAATACTAACGGTATGGGGATGGTTGTGAATGTCAATCCTGGGAACCATCCGAAACCCCCAACCGGTTTTCCAACGTGTGGCAGTTTTTTTAATAACGGTATGTAATTATAATGTCGACAGTTGTTTTAACTTTTAACATTTTCAAAAGAATTATTATGAAGCGCCCAAAGTTTAATTGCTTTTTTTGCTTTCTACATCAAATATACATTCATTTTTGTCGAACTTGATGAAAATATGTACCTTATTTTTTTCAAAATTTGCTTACTTGTGACTTGCCACTTGCGAAGGATGTTCGGATAAAGACTTTTGTTTCAAAAGGAACTTAAAAATAAACAATGTAAGAATTTACTAGTTTTTCTACATCAAAAAATGTATGTTTTTAAAATAACAAATAATAACAAATACCCCTACAAGAAGAATAAAAACATGCATCTATCATACACTAGCGGACATTGATCGTCAATTTAATGCAACGTCAAAACAAAGTCATCGCTTTTCAAAAACACGCCGTTGCACTCTATGCAACGTTCGTGATCCATTGGCTTTAAATAAGTTTTAATTCAAAATATTTTATTAACTCAAGAAACATGTCTCCCCCTCTAGCACGTCTGCTAAGGAAGGCCCGTGACTCGTGTCGTCTGCGTTCTTCTTATGATCCTTCAGTAGTCTTGGTACCCAACTATCGTGAAACATTACGTTATCACCTTGTCAATCATGACTTTTCGTCCCCTTTGTGCAATAACTTAAAAAATGCTTCTAAATTTAATAGTAGATAATCAGATATTGCACTAAGGTGAATTGATTCTGTAAAACGCATGTAAATCACGTTTTTAATATATGAAAAGGCTGTTGTAGAAATCTTATAACGACATACGGTAACAATAATCTTTTATATTTATATATTTGATACGTATTTGTTTGCAACTATCAAATAATTTTGTTTTGTGAACATGAATATCAATACTTCTCTACCTTCGACATGCTTTATGTGGATATTCGAATTCCGTGAACTGTGGCAACACCCAGATGAAACATATCCGCCAGCTCCCGAACTGTCAGTCGTCTGTCATCCTCCAAGACGCCCTGATTTGATGTATCCATGGACGTCATTTTTTTCTATTTCCGCTCCCACTGTCATCTTCTATTGTTTCTCTACAGGTACTTAAGCGTCTGTGCCATTTTATAACCAGTGCACCAATATCAGCACTTGCATGTTGTGTCTTGAGGTTTCGGATGTTGTATGACAAACATGACAAAATTTTATAATTCTGTTCGCTGTGATGACGACATTTAGTGTGGTGTTTACATTAGTTACCGATGTTAAAATGACATACAAATTTACAATGACGTCATTTAATTGTCCATTCATATTTTGGCGGAATTAAAAATAAAATCCATCAACGAAAAAAAGAAATAAGTCGAATTTATTGTTTGAATAATGTTACTATAGCAAATGTTAGCTCTGTGACACAGCCATCTTAAATTCTTTTAATATCTTTATGATACCTATCGATGAGGTATATATTAAAACACGTAAGTGTAGCTTTATATTTTTGTGTGTGTTACGTTTGGTTTGGATTACAAATGCGAGGGGTTATCGAAAATTCGTGGACTTTCTTTGTTACGTAAAATATATTTGAAATATAAATTTGAAATTCTTTCACTGTTTAGAAGAATTAATAACAAATAAACACAGAAAAATTCATGTGAGTAGCTTCTTACATTACAACAATATTTATTTTTACATAAAAACATGTCGGCGACAGCGGCGCACTCCAAACAGCTATTGACGTCAACGTCATAACTCGTATTAACATACAACTTGTGTTTAAACGTTACGCAGTCAATGACAGTTACTGCTTCTCAAAGTAATGTTCATCACTAAATTTCTTATGCCACTTTAACACTAATGATCGTGAAATTTTCTTTTCTCTGTTCGTCTGCTGATTTTTATCAAAGGTTTTTGTAGGTGCCGTTCCCAAATTACAAAAACAATTCATGATCGTTTTATGACCGCGCGATTTTCTAAATACCGCGTGTCCGTCATTTTCCCGTTGTAAACAATAAAGGCGTCTGGCGTTTCTAGCGATATCAACAAAAATTACAAAAATGACGTATATTATTTTAAAGAATTACTTAAATGACATCATAGAAGAAACAGGCTATGTTCAGCGGGTTATCTACGTTATTTTATTAGTTTTTCAGCAAGAAATTTACGATTACTAACTGCGCTTTTCTACCGTGTACCATGTATGTGCTTATTTTAAACCAATATAAAATCATTATTTATTGTAACGATTAACTGTTCCTTTTAAAAACGTGTTGATAATATTCTAAAATGTATGCTGATTGAATTTCATTTCAATACACGATGAGGTTCAAGAGATATTTAAAAAGTCCACAAATTTTTGGATAAACCTCGTATACGTGTTTTGCGAACATCGCTCGTTTTGAATTGTTTACTCGTTTGGACGAAGCAGTTAGTAGGTCCTAAAATCTTGGACGACACTTATCGCCGGGTTACTAAATTGCACCTGACAGCATACAAATCAGTTTTCCACAAAACTGAAGCTGTTATAGATAAAACCACATATTACGTATAACATATAAAGATTGATAAACAATGCTACGCGATTGAAGCTCGCATTTTGAAAATTTTATGGGCATGCTTCGGGATCATGAATAATGATATTTTATTTTCCCCAAAAAGTTGACTAAATGTAAGGTCAGTTGTAACTGATTAATATTTGTAAAAGACTTGTTGCACTCTTAGAGAGATCGGTATAATTCTGCGGCATAAAAATCAATAATGCGGGCTTCCATAAGCGAGCTGGCTAGATCCCTGGAATAATAAAAGTCTGCTTACCGGGGGGAATCTGACAATATAAGGAGCATAATGAAATCAAAAGTACGATTTTGAGAAGTCGAAATAAGAAAAAGACTATTGTGAAAACTTGTCTTTTTGTGTTTTCACTATCGTAGTTCAACATGTCACTATCGTGGATTCGCTGTTTCGTTATTGCGGCTTTTCAACAATCGTACTTTCGACCTTTTTTCATCATTGTTTCGTCTTTCACTATCGTACCTCCGACTTTTCACCATCGTTCCTTCGCAGGTTCGAAATGTATGAAAAGTCGAAAACACGAAATCATTCTTGTTTTCAAAAAATCTCGCCAACTTGATTACTGTATTTAACTTTTCACCATCGCGATTTCGTGTTTTCTTTGTTTCGAGTTATGTGTGTGTCGCAATTGCCATAACGGTACACTGTATGACCGTGTATTTAGTTTAGTTGCAATATTTTCACGAACGCATATGAAATGTGGATATTGTCTCTCTTGATATGAAATGCAATATTATAGCATTTTCAAGAAAAACAAAGCACAAAAATGAGCATGAACCCTTTTAATGAATTTTCATTTTTGCATGTTTAGTTATTTTAGCGCTATCAATATTTATTCATTTAACAGGCAAACCACAACCGGATGTTGACAGTGAATGCCGAACAATTGTTGGAGACGGCAATGGATCATTAGCCAATGGATCATTTGTTTTCAGTCTTTTGGTCGCACTTATCTGTGCCATGAGAGTATGAAGAAGGCAGTTGACTTGAAAATTGCATAACAGGTTGAATTGATTGTGAAGTTTTATTTTAACAAGGATATTTCTGACTAATTTTACTCCTTACCTTTTTAACATAACTTTAAAGGGAAGCCTATATGAATATGTTTTAAGTAATCAGTTATTTTTATATTATACATACAATATTTTTTTCTAACCTTTGTAGATTTATTTTATTTGTTTCATGAGCACCTAACGTAAAGGGGTAGAAAATCTTAACTATATAACTAACTATCTATGGAAGGATATGAGTAAATTGTGCAAATAGGATAAGAGCTTAAAATGGCTCTATTCTAGCAAGATCAACTCAAATATGACGCAGATATGATTTTTTCTTCTATAGAGAGTGCAAGTGTATGTTTGATGTTACAATAGTGAAATAAGAACGTGGTATACGTTTATCACCTGAAAGAAATAGAGCAGAATATAAAATGAATTGTGAAAAAGGTAGCAAAATGCTGTCAAAGCTTTAGAAGACCTGGTGGGAACATGTTAACTTCATGAATTCACAATTTCCACTTGTTGAATTCACATTTTCAACATACGGTTTATACTAATTTACGACTGTAACTATTCCAATTTCGTGAATTCGAAGTTGAAATTAGAAGATCGTGTAGATGAACTAGATAATTCAAGAAATGTTACCACTGATCTTTCGTATAAAGTACAAGTTTTTGCTTCTTAAATTTAATGCAAAATACGCAAAAGATTACCTGTCTTTAGGGCAAATAAAAAACGCTTTTTTAAACTTTTACAGCACAACAATAAATAAACAAAAAGTTTTATAAAAATAAAATTATCTAAATTTTTGGGCTAGATGGGAATTAAACATTTCAGTTCTGGTGATTTAAGGGCAGTTTTTTGTTTGTTTCTAAAATGTCACAAATGCCATTTCTTGGTATTAATTGCAAAATATGTTTAAACAAACCAAGATTTCCATAGATTATGTCTTACAGTAAAGTTTATTCTTATTTGTTTTCTGCTGGTTTTCACTGAGTTGTGACTTTTATTTACATTTAATTTAATGATCGCCAGAAATTAAATTACTTCATGAACTCTTTAAGTAGTATACTTTTTACACCTTTATATTTGTATGCTTATTTATAATGATTTTAAAAAACATATCATAGTATTTTAGACATGTATTTTTTTAGCGTTTTCATGAACAACTGAAGAAAGTAGTTTGAAGATGCAATAGGGAGCAAATTGTAATCAAAGTGTTATTTTGACTTCCTTCATATACAAATAGTCAACAGAGCTCGAGAAGCAAAAGACAAATAAGAAAGATAGCATTTCTGAAGCATAATGTGCCTTAAAACATAATTATAACAATTGGAATGTATGTCCTGAAAATAATTTTTAACCCTTTAACCTGCTTGAAGCTAAACTGAATAATCTTTTCCACCAGTATAGACTGACGGGCGTATTGTATGACCAATTTGACCTTTTATTGATAATTACAATTAAAATATTTATTTTTAGTGTTTCAGGTGTTAACCTTTTTGTTAGGTAAAAGTCTTTGTGTAAATTTTTACAGTTTGTTAGTTTAAGATGTAAACGTATCCTTTTATTTTTGATAGCTCGTTAGCTTTGATACTACATTCTACAAACGTAACTTACTAATAAGCAGTTTTTATAACCTAAATATTGTTGCAATGCTGTTTTGATGATTCCGTAGAGCATGATACCAAGAGTAGTTTATTATATAGATTTAACATTTTAGTCAATAAGTCAACATCGGTTACCCACGGTTTATATTCCGCACACACTACTTTAAATCATGTCGGCTACTAACGGTATAGATACCGTACATTCTATATTATACAATGAAATCTGGACTGAATATATATTGGTAATGTTTTAATTTGGTATTGCATACATTTTATGTAGATTTTATGTAATGTGATTTAACGATGTACCAACAATAAACTCTGTTTAAATATATTTCTTTGCTTATTTTTAACATCATATTCTATCTTGAAACCTGTTTTCATCCGCTGGCTCTTGTTTGTACTACAATTGCTATGTGATCCAACGTGTTAGCGATGTTCATCAGCTTAGTTTTAATCTATCACAATTTCTGTGTCATCAAGATGTTCTTTATCATTCGTCAAGTTGTTTATTTGTAAAATGGAAACGATTAGTTATCTGGTAAACGTATGGTGGCTACAATGCTCAAAACCGTACAGCGATGTGTCATCAAATATTGAAAGACTGCCAATATTACGTCAACGAAAGACAAACTGGTCAAGTTGCTCTCCGGATGTCATTGCCGTATGTTTCAAATGTTTTAAATGAGAGAAGTATTGCACTAGCTTACACCCATGACTCACGGGGCATCTGGCAGCCGTGTTTCTTGGACATCATTATAACATTTGTATAAGCATATACTTGTCTCATTGGCTTCCCGTGCATCAAAATAGTATCATCACAAAAAATCGACTTGAATACATATAAAGTATCATTCAGTGAATTATTTGCTTAAGATTGTCCATTGTGATAGTTTGCAGTCTACTCTTTAAGGCAATATAAAGTGCAGGTAAATTGCACAAGAAATAAGTTCGAAAAATGCCTGCTTGGCGATGGAATAAGAGACGAGTTTATCCTGAAATTAAGGAGTTCCTGTTATCAAAACAGAGGCAAGTTGAAATTTTCTACTGCCTCTGAGTGCATTTTCGTAACGAAATTGTGTAATGATCAACTTATTAACTTAGCTTAGTATTAAAATGGATCAGATTCAATAGATCAAGAAACTAAAACGTGTCTACCGTTGTATTAAAAAAATTCCTTACAAAATGTTTTGGCCAACAATACATTTTTGTCAGAGTCAGAGTGGATATTTGTGTTGATACATGCCATTGTTAATCCTGCTTTGTATTGGAGTTGACCAGATGCGATAGGATAGGAAACGTTTTATCCACACATTTTGGAGGTTTCACTTACCGAAATTATATGCCATTTCTAATTTGATTGAATATTGTTGTACAAACAAACAACTCCGTACTTGGTCAAACTGGACATTGTCCCATCAGAGTTGTTTGCGATTACATGATGTCATTATTCATTTAATTAGGTTTGATAGAACAAGTAACGATTTTGCACTCGAACGTCGAAGGTTCATTACTTGTACTTTCATCAAACATGTTTGAATTTTCGGTTACTTTATTTGGTGTTTGAGACTAAGTTCTGCCTTTGCTGGTGTAATGACAAATGCGGCACCTAACATCATTTCTCATTAACTAACAAAATTGATCTGACCCTCCGTTTTGTAAATTTTTAATTTGAATCCATTGCTCTTGAGGTTTCATCGTTTTTCCATATTTGTGAATTATTTCTTAAACTTGACTTTTAATACAGTTGAAAAGTGCCGTTTATTTGGGAGGAACATTCTATTCCAACGTACCACATCTTGGTTTTCAGACCCAATATTATGCGTCGAAATTAATGTTTCATGATGTATCAGAATTTGTTTATAACCGAACTATTGATATTAATATTCTAGCGATTTTGAAGTATCTGTATTTATATAAGGTTTTAAAACGGTACGTGATGGTAGTTTCTGAAAATATTTAATACCAATCCAAGCATTTTCGCTAATTTTCGTGTTTTTTTTGATAGCCTTATAAAAGTATTTTCACATTTTTCTAAAATCTGTTTTGCTAGTTGATTCTCTTTCACTTGTGACTTTCCCCTAATTTTCTTAGAATTGGATGGTTAAAAAAGTGACCTGAAATATAGATCAAAATGCAGTTGACATAGAAATTGCAGAACAAACTAAAAAGCAATTTGAAAGAAAACTAAATTTAATGCACAAGAATGACAATCAAGTCAACTGCAATAATTATCAATCTTAAGGCAAATTATAGGGCATTTCTCCTTGAGAGTAAATGTTAATAATACAACGCACTTTTGATGTGATCAAAGTGAGAGATTTAACCAACTATAAATGTATGTAGATAATCTGCACCCAAAACGCCCTTTTTTTCCCTCTCTTACATAAAACACTTGGCAGCTGGTAATGATTGAATTAACCAAATATAGCAAAATGTAATATTGTCAAAGAACATAAAACTTACTAGTAATCCAATAAAATATTTTTATGAAATTTATAAACAGTAAAAGTCTCGAAATACTTGTTACATAGAATATTATTTAACACACAAAAGTATTATATGTAAACAAAAAAAAAATTGCTACGGAACAAAATATTACGCTGCTATTTTAGATAGGGTTTTAACCGTTTAGCAATTATTTGGTGAGCTTTTTAAGCAGGGAAATAAACAATTGTGTCCTTCTTAAAGAATTCACTTTCAACAGACAAGTTTTACTCAGAAGAAAATGTAACTGTAACACACAACAGCTTCTTTGTTATGAAATAAAAGTAGAATATCTTTAAATCAAACAAACTGTCTTGATTTCACTAACTTTGATGCATATTGACTTTCAGTTAAGCTTGATGTCTAATGAAGGCAACAAATATGACACAGTTCTCCAGTGTAGAGTCTCATTTACAGCGCACGTGTCTTGAGTTTTCAAAGAATCAATTTTGCTCAATCTATTTTTTATAAATAATGTAAGATTTCTAAAGAATGCAAATAATATCGTATAATTAGGAGAAAGAAAAGGAATTATTAAAGGACTTAGCATTACTGTGGAGATTCTAAAGACTTTGTATTCTGCAATTTTTTTCTGGCGCAAATTATTGTAACCATTAAAAGCCCTGTTTCACGAGAAATTTGAAAATAATTACTTGATTTAAAATTTAATTAGCTTCGTTTAAAATCTACTTAATAATAGGAAAATGTAGTAAAATGCAATGGTCTTCAATTTTTGTTATATCAGCAAACCTTTTCATAAGACTATTAATCATTTTCAACTGTGTGATTTGATGATGATTTACATCTCAAATATTTTCGTGATAATTTGACGTGCATTGTTAGAATATGAATGCAATTATTATTTCTTATTTAGTTTCGCTCACAATATGAATATTTTGTTACATTTTTGTGCAGTGCCCTCCATATTTTTTGTGCGATGCTCTTGTGTGACTAGACACTCAGACTGTGGTTGCGTTCCGTGATCGCCATTCCTTTTTCCTAACCAATCTATTCATATGTCGTATTTTCATATATTCACCGATTTGTTTCTTCTCAATTTATACTCTTTACTCCGGAATAGAAGCAATGCATCTGATCTATTTTTGTTTTGGGTCCTTCTGTACTCTTGCCGATGGTTTTTGTTGCTTGATCTTGTGGGGGTTGCCTCAATTATGCGGCACCTACCCTTGTTGAAATTGTTTATCATATTTGATATGATCGAGTGATGCTTTAATTCATTTTAGCAGTAGTTTTGGTTTAATGGTCAAGTGACGTCAAGAGATCGATTCCTCTTTAATTTTTCAGAAGCTTAGAAATATAGTTAAGAGAAGAGCTCAGACTACTTATAGCACTGTGAAAATGACAGCATCTGTACACAGATAACGTCATGTCACGTGGTACTAACGTTATTGTACAATTTTAAGTACTTCAGATTGACATGTAAGCCAATTAAGCCATGTAATAACGTCAAATTTGATAATTGGAACTGAAAAGATGATGACTTTCTAGAGTTTCTTTCTGGACAGACGAGCGGGAAAAGTGCAGAATTTCATAAGCTTGTTCAACCTTAGATTTTTTTTGTCATTATAATTACCATTGTACTT